CTTCCAATTTAACTTCTCAGCACAGCCCACTATGACACCTTTGTTTCCCCAGATGGTGCTTGGGCTGTCCCACCATATCCTCCTACGGAAGCAGAGATCCGAAACGCGACCCAACCTATGAAACATCATAAAGCCCCCGGTGCTGACAGCCTGCCCCCAGGCCCTATTCAAAAATGGCGGAAATACACTCCGGAAATCCTGTCACTGTTCAAGAAGGTTCGGACTGACGAGAAAGTTCCAATTATACGGGGAGAACCGGTCATTGTGCCGATTCACAAGAAAGGCTCTCGCGAAAATTGGGCCATGTACTACGAAATCTCGTTTATCTCTATTGCGTCCAAGATTTACGTGTGTCCTACTCCACAGGCTTTCAGCGACTAGAGAGGACGTTCCCTGAGAGGAACAAGTCGGTTTTCGTTCAAGCAGAGGTCGCATCAACCAAATCTTCACACTCCGCCGACTTCTTGAACTCCGTCACGTCCACCGATGGCCAACAGCCGTAGTGCTTTTGGACATTTGACTCAGTAAATAGACCTGCGTTGTGCAACCGTCTACTAAGGCGCGCCCGATAGGTTTGTAGCCACCCTGAAGGAACTCTACAGTCACACGTGGGGCAAACTCAAGGCTTACATCAGTCGTCCTTATCCGTTTGCTGTCACCCACGGCGTTCGCCAAGATTGTTCTACTTCACCTTTCTTCAAATGTGCCACTGAAGATGTCGTCCAACGAGTATTGGAAGGCGTTCAAAACCGCGGTATTGGGCTTCTACCATGTGACAGAGTTGCGAACTTGTACTATGGCGATGATATCCCTTTGCTTGGGGACGACCCACAAGCCGTCCAGAGCGCTTCGAACTGCTTAGCGATAGAGGCGTCGAAGTATGGCCTGTATTTCACCCAAGCAAGTGTAACATACAGCTCCAGGAATACGGTAAATGGGTTGGGAAGATTAGTGGGTTTCGATGTGGTGATAAGAATCAACCAAGTGTGCCAACACGGCGCTTATCACATTTTTTCTCCCACCATTGCGTAGATTAGCTGGACAATGCTCACGTATTCTCTCAGACAGCGTCCTAGTAGTTCTTCCGATGTATCTTGCTCGACATGAACAAGAGAAGGAATATACACAGTAATAAGTACATGACAAAGGAAGTCTGTCTTTCAGTCGAGGCCTCACAATTGGTGTTGAAGTAAAACTTAGCCGCAAGCTCGCTGCGTAGTAGGTATGGCTCATAGCGTCGGATAATCTTCTAGATGTTGCCTGTGCTATACCATCCCCCTTGAACGGCAACGACAAATAAACCGGTTTCTTCTTTACCGAAGCTGGTTTAGCTCTCATTTTTCTGCACTCCATATATTTCCGAACAAAATTTTCTGGATAGCCATTTCTCTCGAAAATGCCACTTAGGAAACTGAGCTCGTCCGCAAGTGTGTCCTCACTACAAATCCTTCTGGCCCTTTCGGTTAGACATGTAATCAAGTTGCGTTTCTGATTTATTGTGACAAAACTGGCAAAATACATAGATTGTCCGTTCCACGTTGCTTTTCTATGCACCCTCCGTTGGACCGATCCATCTGGTCTTCTACTAAGCTGAACGTCTAGCAAGGACATCGTGTCATTTCCTTCAGTTTCTAGGGTGAACTTGGCATTAGGGTGCGCTGAGTCAAAATGGGATAAAATTGTCTCTGGACAACAGTGCCTGTCTGTCACGCAAAATATATCATTCACATATCGTCCGTAATATGGTAGACTGGTAATGACTCCGCTCAGATAGGTATTCTCTAATTTGCTCATGAACACATCAGCTAGTAGCGGTCCAAGCGTTGAACCTATTGCTACTCCATCTGTTTGTTTGTATATGGCCTCGTTAAACTGAAATTGTATATTAATAGTACACAGCAAGAGTAGCTGTTTCAATCGATGGTCTCGAACGGTGTCACATATATAGTCTGTCTGTTCTAACGGAATACTGGTGAAGAGCGACACCACATCCAACGAAAACAGCTTTCTTTCGGTTAGCTGAAGCTGTGTTATGGAGTCTAAGGAACTGAATGTATCTCGTAGGCTGTACTTGGACATAATATTTCTCACCGGCTCTAGAAGCTTAGCTAAACATTTGGCTGTTGCGTGATACGGTGAATTGCACATGTCTAGTATAGGCCTTAGTGGAAGTCCTTCCTTATGCACCTTCGGTAAGCCGTAGAGTCTCGGGATCACCGTCCCTGTGTGACGAATGTATGTATGTGGCGGAGTCAATCATGTTTTCCTGTCTCAAGCGCCGTAGAAGCTTAGTAACTGTCTTTTCTATTGCTGCAGTTTTGTCCTTTTCATTCTCTATTTTCCGAAACGTCGAGCGATCGCTAAGGATCGCGTTCGTCTTGCCGATGTAATCAGCTTTCTCCATCAACACGATTCCTGCCCCCTTATCCGGCCTTAAAAGGAACACATTCTCATTTTGTTTGAGAGCATCTAAGTTGTTCTTTTTTCAGCAAATACCTAAGTTTAGATTTGTATTTCAGATATTGGTAACAAGTATTGACCAAGGTAGACTTAAAATGCTCAGACGCTAATGCTGACGACGGCGTAAGCATAGAAACTTGGGCATACAAATTTTCAAACTGCACTTTTAATTCTAATTGTCTTGAATAACTGCGGGGACAGCAAAAGTTTGGACCAAGTGAGAGCACCTCAAGCAATGTCTTGACCAAGTGCAACGCCGTAAAATTGTGAACATAGCTTTCCGGTTCGGGTGGGGAATAAGTGTTTGCCTTAGTTGTCCAAACCTGCAGCCGCAATGAGGGTAAGCGTTTCTCCTCTTGCTTTGTGATTATTCGTTGAACCAAGGTATCGAATTGTTTGCGCTCCACTGCGCGAAGTTTTTCCAATGTGACGGAATACGCGCAGCGATTACATTCCACCTCATCAAGTCCCGAGGCAATGGTATCACGCTCGTTCAACGTATGCCGTTTCGGCGCCACATTAGTTGGATTTATCCGATTTCTACGGAGTATTTTGTAAAAGTGTTTAAGATATTCGCAACGCGAAACACATTCATCAAAGAACCGCATTGTCACCTTCGCTAACGCAAGTTTTGTGCAGAACTTAACGTACTGGTTTAGCCCTTTGAGCACAACAAGATCCTTGGATTGTTTCTGTTTCCCAGAGACAATTTTATCCCATTTTGACTCAGCGCACCCTAATGCCAAGTTCACCCTAGAAACTGAAGGAAATGACACGATGTCCTTCCTAGACGTTAAGCTTAGTAGAAGACCAGATGGATCGGTCCAACGGAGGGTGCATAGAAAAGCAACGTGGAACGGACAATCTATGTATTTTGACAGTTTTGTCACAATAAATCAGAAACGCAACTTGATTACATGTCTAACCGAAAGGGCCAGAAGGATTTGTAGTGAGGACACACTTGCGGACGAGCTCAGTTTCCTAAGTGGCATTTTCGAGAGAAATGGCTATCCAGAAAATTTTGTTCGGAAATATATGGAGTGCAGAAAAATGAGAGCTAAACCAGCTTCGGTAAAGAAGAAACCGGTTTATTTGTCGTTGCCGTTCAAGGGGGATGGTATAGCACAGGCAACATCTAGAAGATTATCCGACGCTATGAGCCATACCTACTACGCAGCGAGCTTGCGGCTAAGTTTTACTTCAACACCAATTGTGAGGCCTCGACTGAAAGACAGACTTCCTTTGTCATGTACTTATTACTGTGTATATTCCTTCTCTTGTTCATCTCGAGCAAGATACATCGGAAGAACTACTAGGACGCTGTCTGAGAGAATACGTGAGCATTGTCCAGCTAATCTACGCAATGGTGGGAGAAAAACTGTGATGAGCGCCGTGTTGGCACACTTGGTTTTTTCTAAGCTCCAAGAATGTCAAATACCTGTGATTGCCCTCACCATTGCTTGTCACATTTTGGACGAAGGGAGTTGCATCATGGCTCGTGGCTGTATTGGAGATGCGGTCTCACGAAGACCCGTCTTGCATTCTTTAGACTGTGACACCTATGGCGTCGTCGCGATGTCAGTTTTAAACTGAAGGACAGGGTGTACATTGCCACTGTCCGTGCGGTCATCTTGTACGACTGTGAGACCTGGCCTATTCGCTCGGGAAACATAAAACGACTGTCAGTTTTCGACAAGGGTTGTCTGCGTAGGATTGCTCGCGTGTGGTGACAACATTACATAAGCAACAGAGAAATCCGAAACTGAGTGCTTAGAGAAAACAACCCATGCCTACAAGCGGTTATTCTCCGACACCGCATGCGTTGGCTAGTCTACGTATTACACATGCCAGTCTATCGTCTTCTCCATCGAGCATTTTTTGCGCTCCCTGGAAGCGATTGGAAGAAGCGCCGTCATGGGCAACTAATGACGCGGAAAATGAGCGTAAAGAAGGCAACTTCAAGCTTAGCATCCGTGGGAATAGTCCGCATTCCAGGGTGGGGAAAAATGGACTTGGACTGCCAGTGATTGGAAACGCTGTAGATTATGGCGCGCAACAGCAGCGACAGTGTTGGACAACTGCATCATTCGTTAACGACTAACTGAACACACACAAACATACGGTTGGCGGCATCCGATTTCGGTTTGCCTATCACTGTGGCCAGCCATAGGACGCCTGCGCCTACAGAGGGACCATGGGTGGCTTACGCTGCACCACTCACAGCTCCAACCACACTCCCCATATGCAGTGTAAACCCAAAGAAATAAGACCGGAAGGCATGTGGATTGGAGCCACGTTTCATCGAGGGAGTCGGCCCACACGCTTCCAACAAGCAGAGAGGAAGCATTCATGCAAACACACTCATTAGACTAGTCATCACGGAACGAACATCCGGCAGGTCGACTGGCTCCAGTAGTACTACAGGGGTTCAAGCTGTCCAACATTGGACAAAAAACGAGTCGGATCCCAGTCACCTTGTGAGCCACCTATGAAGATGGTTAACTGCATTGGGGTGTACGAGTGTTAAAAAGCAAACGTACTCTGGTCGGATAATTTAGAACTGAGCGAACGGCGTCCCGAGAAAGTGAACCAAAAAGAGCTCTCAACAGTACAAACAGCCATACCGTCGGCAGCCACAAATGGCTGGGAGTGGGGAAGCAGGAGGAAGGACTAAGAGTATAGTGAAGACAAAAAAACAACTGTGTTAAAAGAAATATGCACAAGGAAGCCGATCAGAACAGCACTTGAGATATCTGGAGTTCCTGTGCAGACGAACCGAATGGTATAATTAGTTCAGAAAGAGGCAACCTAAACAATTGTGGGGAGTAGCCAGGTGGCGAAAATGTGGATTATTGTACAAAATAGAGATGTGAGGGTTGAGTATGTAAATGGTGGGGCGTCGAAGTCGCGGCAGTGGCAACCGTGGAGGACCAAGTAAAGCAAACAGAAGATGCGCGGCGACATCTCACTAGCACATCCTTTCTACATCATACCCATCATCATTTGCTGCTGTTCGCGTTTCAGGCTGTTTACCACGTCCAGCACAGGAATACCATATTTTTGACACACATTCGACTGCGCGATCACTCCTTCGCGCAAGGCGATTAAGTGAGAGAGATCATTTTTCGTTTTGGCCTCTTGGATGGCTTTGTTAAAGTGATCCAATGCGGTGTCAAAATCACCTTGCTCCACTGCCAGCTGACCAAGTAGTTCGTGAATGAGTTCGGACTTGGGATCGGCCTGATTGGAAAACGGAAACCAAAAAGCTTGAGAATAGATGTGGAACTAGAAAACGTCAAGATTTTGATAAGAGAATAGCAGAATATAGCAGATGGGGAACAATCCGGTTCAATAGGTGGTCGGAAGTTAAATATAGTCCCTGAATGGAGAACAACTGAAGACCAAAGAAATCACACAGACAGATTGGGTAGTTTGGAAGGCGACCTAAGGTCAATGAATTACAGCGTACTCACAGCGTATCACAAGTACCACGGCAGTCTGTGAATCCACTCTGGAACATTTAGACAAATGACTTAATGTGCACCATACGACTTTTGAGTGCCCAAGCATGGCTATAGCTTCTTCGCTTCCCTTCGTGCTGTCATCCATTAAGACTGTCAGTGTTGCTAAGACTCGATTTCATCCATACACAAATGTCACCTGTCAGCAAACAGCGCGTGGCCTATTCGCCGTTTGTGAATGATTTTGGTACCTCTACTTTTTTCATAGTCCCACGAGAAATCTTAACCTATTGAGAGATTCGTATCAAGACTTTAATAAAAATACACAAACTTATCAAATATAATCACTGAATTATGCCCTATTACACACACGGCCAGTAAGGAATGTCAGCCATGCTTGCAAACTCAATAGTCTTCGCCGTCTCGATTGTGCGATTCATTTTTTAATCCTTCCTGCTCATATCAATACCCACATGCGCTGTATGGAGATCCAACTCTCACGAAGGTAACGCCCCAATATCGCTACGACACGATTCACTCAATAACTGCCATGTTGGCCTCACAATCCGGATGCGGATGCTTAGCAAGTATTTCAGTAAGCGCCTTTATCACAAACTTGCTGCAGCCTGCCCAATGATTCCCCATTCGGCAAGTAAAAATGTATTACAACATCGCTATCGGCAATCGTATATTATTAGTCATTTAACCCTTTCGCGCATAGAAGTCACTGTAGTGGACGGCTATTATTGGCTCGTTCCACAAGCATTGTTCATGACCTCTGATGCATGCACTCCACTGCAGAGACATCGCTTGTATGATGTAATCATTGAGCGCGCGGCAAATTGTTTTTTTTAAATCTTCCTGGTAAACATAAAAGAAAAATAAATAATGTGTCAGCTGTACGCCGTAACGGCACTTCGCTGCCGCGCGACCACCACCAGTCGCGCGTGGTCTGAGTATACCGCGAGGACGCCAACCCCTACGCGGATTCGAACCTTATGGTTGCAAAGCAAACGCGCAGACCACTCGGCCACCGGCAGAGCTGTTTATCCATGTTGTTACCATTTACTGTAAAGCTATCCACTGTAGTGGACTTCATGGAGTAAGCTCATGGAAGATCACACCCACACACATTCCGATATTGATAATAATTGTGAAAGTATAGTGCCCACTTCTGAATTATCATTTATTAGCTAGTACCGTGAGTTATTATAATTTAGCGCATAATTATTTTGTTGTTTATTTCAATTCCAGAATATAATAAATATTCCGGTGGATTCATACTGTTCTTTTGCTGATGACAACGACGGGGATGAAGAAGGCAGTCTTAGGTCTGCGACACCACGGAATGCTGTCATTCCAGAAACATACTCCAGTTCAAACGATAAAATTGATTTGGGAGAAGATGAATTGGTAGAAAATTCTCCTGTTATGCCTCTAAATAAATCAAAGACAAAGTGTACGTGGATCAATAATGATAATTCTCTTGCTGGATCTCTTCCACCGTTCACCGGGAAACTTACACAGAATGTGCACAGTGAAAGTCCTGTTGACTATTTTCGTACGTTGGTGCATGAAGAACTTTTAGAACTTATTGTGTACCAAACAAATTTATACGTTACAGAATGTGAGATAGAGAAGTTGTCTGACGGTGGCCGAGCTAAAGAAATTTCTAGGAATAAATTTGGTGATGTCATAAATCAGATACCTCAGAATAAGAACATATTGGTCGTCCGATGAGGGACTGAAGATGAATCTTACCACAAATGTAATGCCAGTGAAACGATTTGAAATGATTATGAGGTATATGCACTTTACAAACAATGTGGCACAACACCCCAATAATGCAGATAGGCTTTTCAAGACCAGGCCTGTACTAGATAACCTACAAAATTCGTTTTTGAAAGCAGTTTAACCAGAATATCAGTCATATGAACAGATAATCCCATTCAATGAGCGAAGTTTGATGAAGCAATATTTGTCAAAATACCTTAAACCGTGGGGGGCTCAAAGTGTGGGTTCGAGCTGGTAGTTCTGGTTATGATAATTTTTCTAATCAAATTGCACCAATATATGCCGGCCCTGGTCCCCAAGACCCGGCACAGCGGTGGAGCAAGAAGGAAATGGAAGATAATCACTGTACCCCGACCATTTGCTGTAACATATTAGAAGAATCAGATGGGTGGTGTGGACCTCATGGATTAGTGTGTAGCACTCTACCCACACTGGCGTCATAATAAGCGCTGGTATCTCAGTGTGCTTTCATTTTATGGATGTTGCAGTCGTGAACTCGTGGTTATTACACAGGGAAGCTGCATTTGAAGGCTTCAATTGCCGGAGCCCTAATAAATCTCGACAAACGCGATCAGACAGCAGTCAAGAGGGCAACCGAGCTCAACTCCCTTGTGTGAAAAGGCGTAGTGCAGTCTCAAATGCTGCACCAGAAGTAAGATTTCATGAAGGCAACCACTGGCCAAAGCTGACCAATATCAAGAATGCGAAAAGATGCCATGATACACACTGCAAAAGAAGAACAAAGTGCAACGAACTTCTGTGCTCAGATCGCTTTGCCAATTTTAATACTAAAACATAAATGTTCTAACCACTGATGCATGCAGTGGACGTAATTGAAATGCGGACCAAATTATCGGAGAGCACTGAAATTTTATTTCAAGTGCTTTTTTACACCATAAATCGATCAGAAATTGTTAAAATAATTTTTTATCATCACTCCCAAAATGCATGCGCGAAAGGGTTATCATGAGCTACCTTCGGTCTCATATACGACATGAACTAGAATTCACACTGTCACATACACGACGGACAAAGTGGATGATTTACCAGACCACAACCATATACGCTTCAGCCGAACATCCACTGGCATTGAAATCTCAGTAATTTTCAGTGCAACATGCAACACCCAAATAATTATAATTGTGCATCTCGGGTCAAGCTTCGGATTTGTTGACACGAAGCACAACCGAATGACGGAAATTCACATCCGATTCCGAAACACAGCTCTGTTTCGCCAACTTCAACTCACCGCTTGAAAATAGACCCATTCTTCAGCTAATCAGACCTCACATGAACAATGAATCCGAACACCCACATTATCGTCATTACTCAAAAGCATATCATCGTTTGCAAAAATTCGAAACAGTCAGATTTCTTTAGCAGTTTAATTAACGAAGAGATAAGACGAAAACAGGTACACACATTTCGTCTCGTCTCAGTACAAATAGAATAAGAGGAAAAAATGTATATCTAGCTACAGCCAGGGTGTGATCGGATAAGGCAGAGAAAGAATGGAGGACAGATGTACCACCCTACGTCCATGGGAGACTTAGGCTTACGAACAGCTGTTTTTGCACACAGAATGCCGGTTTGATCCGGCTGAACGCAACAGCCTCTGCGAAATGCAGGAAGCGGGTGCTAGCATGCCTCAACAAGACTGTGTGCGTGTGTGTTATAGGGTCGAATGGATAACGGCCAATGAGTGTCTACCACTTGCTTCATCATCCATACAGAGGCAACTATTTCAGTTGACTGCCTAGATAGAATATTTGGACGGGATGGATACGTCTGCAGCAGTTCGCACGCGTGAAACGCCACGGTCGAGTTATGGAAAAAATCATACTGACAACAGTCGGCTAGATAGGCATAAAACAAATTAACGGAGTTTGTGTGAAAAAATGCTTATCTTTATTTTTTCACATGCCATATTTTCCATTTATTAGGACCGGATAATAAACGCGCTAGTTTAATCAAATTTCCACGTAATTCATTAGTTGGATCCAGTTCCGCGCCATATCCTCCGATTTTTCAAATCAAAGAGGTTCTCCATCCTTGCATCCTTAACTAGGAAGACAAGGAGTCAACCATAGCCCAGTCAGTGTTCTGACCGCTCATCATCACTTGATAAGATGACAATCACGCGGCTTTATACGAGCAAATAGAGAGCGGTGAGGTAAACAGTCGCGAGATGGACAACTGACACAACGAGACAAGTCTATTGAAAAAACCCACCATTTCCGAAGATACGTTTTCTTATTGCATCGTTGTAAAACAGATCTTGCTGCCAGATACAGAAGATCTACAGACACGCTGGTAAAGTCGAAAAGCCAGTGCATTTGAAACAAGCATCTAGGACTCGTTTTCATATAGCAAAAGTAGAGGAGAGGAAGACGCCTCGATTACGTCACCCATGCTAGGTGGGCTTAGGTAAAACGACAAGATACCTATTTTCCGACAATGCAGCTGGCGGATACGTAGGCCTTTAAGTAGACGAAGCTGCACACTTGTTCAGGGTGTAGCTTAATGAGTAAGACCAGGAATCAGCGAGTGCAGGTTCTGGAGCAATGGTTTCCACTCAGAGTACGCAGAAGGAACCACATATTTAGAAGTCGGGAACTAACATCGGAGACCAAAGCTAGCGAACAAGCTAGTCTTCAATAGTGGAGGTGTTTCAATGTTGCTCCTCTCAATCCTGATACCCCATAACCGGTTTCGTCCTCATTTGGACTCATCAGATGGAGATAGCCTGAGCTGGAGTGAAACTCGAGACCTGTTGGTTAACGGCTGACACCTTGATTACTATGCCCCTAAGATCCGTGAGAAACACTTGACACAGCGGTGAGGAATTCAAAGTTGGATTTGGAGTACCCACCGTGTGGTTGGATTGTGACACTTTGAACTAGACCACAGCCATTCCGATCAAAAACATCGTATCCGAAATGGAGATGTTTCGGTTTTTCCTCATCCAAACAGTGACACCCCATAACCGGTTTCGTCCTCGTTTTGACTCATCAAATGGAGATAACTACTAGAGACGTAAGCGGAGTAAGTAGGGTATCGACTGATAATTGATCCATCAGTAATTACCAGTCCGCGTCAAACGAATCGAACTGTACGGTCAATATGATAAACCCGTGGAGCGGAACTCACTCACACTGGGTGAAAACCGGACGCACAAAAATGAGCGATCTTGACCTCTTAAGTTAGCGTGTTTCGGCTACCTATAAATACGCTTAACTTATGGTGTATATGCACTCCCTGTTTACCGAGCCTTGGTCTTCTGTATTCCGTTGGTTGGGTTGGTGCGTAACTGAGAAGTCAGACAGTTGCAGTCTCAGAGGGCAGCTAGCAACA